TTTGACAATAAGACTGTTGAGAGAGAAAAAAAAAATAGACAATTAATTAATCAATCAAATATTTATTTATTCATTCGGATTATTTATTAATATATTTACCCTTAATTTGACACCATCATCGGCTAATTCATCTTCAATAATTGCTTTCATTTCAAGACCATATTTAAAAGCACAAGTAACATGATATGCTGTTTTACATGTCTTTATGCTGCACTGTATGCATGCACCCACTCGTTCACGACACAAAACACAAATGAGAGCCCAACGACTTTGCTGTAAATAATTAATTAATTCATTAATTATATCAATATTTATAGATATATCAAATTTGAAAGAATTGAAGAATAATTTCTAAATAATTACCGGAATACTGGATATTTTTGTAATGGGTTCCATTTTTTCAACACAACCAATGCTAACTTCTGGTATCCACAGTGCACAAGAAACATGAGCCCATTTTTGTCCACTGCGTGTACACTTCATTGCACCTCCTTTGTTTGGACACAGAACACAGTCTGGTCGCTGACTTAAGGAACAAGTTCTGCATAACCATGAACCTTCTGGTATCGAAGTAATACCATAACATGCTTGATGTACACATATATTGCAACAATCACAGAATACCATTTCATTTCCTTCTTCAGAATCAGGCTAAAAGAAAAGAATAATTTTGATGTTTATGTTTTACACTCTCTTGTTCAAAAAAAGTCAATCTTAAGGAATACAAAATAATGGAAATTGTAAAATACTTACGGATCTACAAACGTCACAGATAACATTTTCATCATATTCAATTCCAAGACCTTCTTCATTTTTAACAATTGTTTGTATTCTTTCCCAACATCGTACTTCTAATTCTTCTATTACATGTTCTAGTTCTGATTCTGTGATAGGTGGCTGACCAGTCTAAAATAATATAAAAACAATAATAAAAAGATGTTTCTCTTAAAATTGAATTAAATATATATTTTAAATTGCAATGCAAACTGCAATTACAAATGTATCATTAATGTTCAAATGGAAATGTTGTATGAATTGAAAATATAATTCAGTATAATATAATATAAATTTGACTTATGTATGCAATGCATATTAGAGATATAGAACATATAAACAATGATAATATTTCCTTACCTGCGCTCTTTCACCATTAAAAACTTCTAACCAAGCAATATCTGTATCATCCAGATCATAAGCACAAGCTTTCTCAGCTCGTGAAGGTGTGGTACTTAAATGATGATCTTCAGGATTGAAATAATCATCTCGGGATATTCTTATAAATTTTTTAGGTCTACAAATGAAAAATAATTCATGTTAAGAAAGAAAAAGCAAAAGCTTTATCTAACGAATAATATAATTCAAGTAAAATGTATGTAAATGTCGATTTGATACTTACAATTTGAATTCACCATGTTGTAATTTCAAAGGTGATGTTTGCGTAACAGTAACCTTTGGTTCAGGAAGGGAATCTGGATTAACAGGTACTTGAACACCTCTTTCCCATTCCTGTTTCCACTGATCAGTAATAACCCAGTATTCGTTGGGACTTAATGGTTCGCTATCCGGTAATTTCATAGCACTGATCAGATCTTTACGAAAGAGTTCTGCTGGGGCCTCAGCAGCTGATCGATTGTATATACTTGAAATCTTAATGTCGCTGACAGGTCGGGGGGTCCAGGATGCCCCCCCTTGACTGGACGACGCCATCGTCTCCTCCTCTTCTGAAGGCCCCGTTGCTGTTGGAAGGGCCGATGAACCTGTGGCAGCCGGTCCCAATCTGCATTTACGCCTTTTAATCGCGCCTGGACAAGACGCCAAATCATTGTCGTTTCTATTAACTCTCTTCCCTCGTTGTGCCATTCTACTAGACCGAATAAGCTAGTGATACGTGGCACATGCAGGTGGGCTATGCGCACCCTACAAATACAAAATGAATTAATCAACAAATAATATTCTTATTGGTCCATTTGCATTATATTATTTCTTTATACATACATTTTTTTAATCAAATGTTATTAAATATACTTACTACATAGTTATCCATATATTTATTATCTTGAAAGTAGACTTTTAATTGAACTGTAACAAATATATCAATAAAAACATTACATTGATTATCATCTATCATTGTAATATACAGCAAAATAGTAACAATGAAATAGAAATAGTTGTTTTGATTTATAATTGTTTTTATAGATGGAACTATTGTTTATAGTAATCTCAATTATTATCTTGTCAATGCAAAATAAAAAGAAAATTGAAATAACCTATCTTCAAGTTTTGGTCATATTGATGTTTTACTTTATGATAATACTTTATGCAATTTGGATGCATGATTAACATTGATTGTAGTTTCATTGAACATGTTGAAAGAATTTAATGAATGATTGATAATGGTTTACTATTATTTACTTAATATGAATGCATGCTTTGCATGTGTATCAAAGAAACACACTGTGCATTATCTTAATTTACATTAATCATGTAATTACATGTAAACATATCATGCTAATGTTTCAAATAAAAACATTGACAATTAATTTGAGATTTGATAAAGTTTCTTTAAGGGTGATAAACAATGCATTAGGAAAATGCACTTTTGTATATAAACAGAAAGTAGAAGTAAACTGTAAAGGTTTAAGTTTTGATAGTAACCATTAGATCAAGTACAATACCTGTAATATGTTCACACACTTATACACTTAAAGTATCAAAGATAGAGAGGTTACTAAAAAAACAATGTGCCAAGACTGGAATGAAATTGTAATCGCGCACAGCCAGTCCGGTTTAATGATATCTTTCATTTTGAAGTCCATTAATCAAGTTTTAGATGAATACTTTACATGATGTTAAATATCACCATTCATTGATATTCATCATTGTCGTTGCATTTGTTTAGACACAGAACAATGTTTATTCACTACACAATCCTATCCACTGGCTGAACACAATTCAACACTCCTGTCTCAGCTGTAGAAAAATAAGAGGTTATAAAAAAGCAAGTTCAATGGGAATAATAGTGTAACATGGAGATTCGGCAATCGTTAATCAACCGATTGTAACCTCGGACAAGCTCGATTTATAATAAATAGTTAATTACATGTCCAAACGTACGATAATCGTAAAAGGTTGTTCCCATCCTAAATTATCATGTAAACATTGGCACAGAGCTATCCCGGAAAATCTGAGTAAATCCTATCGCAAAGCGGTTTCATTCACTGTACGTAAACTCGATCGAGCGAGCCGAGGACAGCATTAGATAACATGATACGCGCGAAATAACGATAAACGGGGTATTCGCACGGATAAAATGCTCACGTCTCCATTACGCTGCTGCTGCTGCTCCTGCTCCTGCTCCTGCTATTGCTCCAGCTACCCAACAACATTGACAATACAGATGGCAGCACCTTCGGGCGCAGTCCATACAAGTTTCCACACACACTTCGAAAACCATTAAATACCTTATTATTGATCTATTAGCCGAATATATTTACGCGCGCACAGTTGCACGTGATTTCAGAGCAGCTTATTAATCACCGCGAGGATGCCAATCTTAAACGATGTTATTATTTAATCGTCACAGAGCCGATAGAGATAAGTGCGTATACCTCTGTCACCAGCAGCCTAACCAACATGTCCTCATTAGCGATTCCAGTAACATATAGCCAGTTCGTACTCACTTTGCTATTATCCTACTTCTTCTGGCTATTTTCAATAATAATTATTAAAACCGTGACCGATCGTATTTAATCGCGAAATGCACCGAATCGATAATATATTTACATAAATGTGAATACTGGCATTTGGCGCCATCATGCCTGAAAAAATAACTGTGGAAGTTCGATGTCACGTGACCGACCCAGCGAGATCTCGCGATTTGCCTTCACGGATTATGGATTATAGTAAGATTGGGGGTCAACAGGTACATGTGACTTACACGCCCCCTCTTGGAATCTACACATTTTTATCATACTCTTTTTTTTGTTTGTCTTTTTCTTATCTTATTATTTGTATTCTTTGTTTACCTATTTTCTTTTTTTAAATATTATCATCTTTCAATTATTTTTAACCTGCTTCATACATATTTTTATCATTTCGCGATACAATATTTCTTTTGACTTTTTTTTTTTTAATTTCAAAACAATCAAATTTAATTTCACACTTTTCAAAATAAATTCTTCATTATTTAAACATTTCAATTAATTAACGAAATTTTTTTCCATTATTTCGATGAGATACATCAATCTTTATTTTTTTTAAATAATTGCAATTTTTTGTTGTTGTCATTTTCACACGTATTTGTAAAAATAATTAATTTTGTATTAATAATTAAATTTGTATTATATCTTGTTATTATTATTATTATTACTATTACTATTATTATTATTATTTTGATAAATTCATGTAAGTGCACCCTTAGATACAATTTTTGTATTTCATGACTTAAGGTTCATGAAAATCATAGGTTAGAATTGATTGGACAAGTTTTCAAAAAAAAAAAAACGTGCGACAGTGAAAACCATAGAGATATTACAGATAGAGTAGACAAACCATAGGTGATTGTGTAAGTGGAAATGTCTCTGCATGAATGCAGCAAAGAACGAAAGGTTGATGTTGTCTCTCTCTAACTCATGCAGTACCGGCGCATGTGCATTACACTTGTCGTGCTTGTACACGTATGTATACACTAGCAGACTAATGCGCATGCGCCGCTCAGCGTAAGTTAGAGAGAGACAACATCAACCTCCAATGTTCTATCTCTTTTTATTTCGCTGACAGGTTTTATGCTGGTTTGTCTGCTCTATGTGTAGTATCTCTATGGTGAAAACAGTTCCAACTGCATCTAAATTCAGATCGTTTACATCCCAAAAACGCCATTACACGTTTAAGTACTGTGTATTTGAAAAGAAAAAGAAAACAAAGTTTTCATTAAAAAATGTTTGTTTGTTAATTACAAATATTACAAACAATCGAATATTTGTTTATACTGAATTAAATATAAATAACGAAATCGAAATATAAACTAATTACAAAATGGAACAGGTATGCATTTATCAAGTTTACTTTATATGTTTTAATAAAACATAAAAAGGTTAATATTTGTGAAATTAATTAATAATATTTTGGTTACAGGATTTGAAAAGTAAAATTGATGAAGCTTGCAGAACTGCTGAAGAATTTACCAAATTGTATTATGAAAATTTGGATAAAAGAAGATACGTAAGTATTTTATTTATTGATTTATTTAAGTTTTATTTTAACGAGCAGAAGTAATTTATTTGCGAATGAAATGAATTAATTTCATTGAATTTTAATGTGTTTCAGTTAATGTCGAGGTTATACATGGACGCTGGTACTTTAATATGGAATGGCAATGGTATAGAAACCAAAGAAAATATTCAAAAATTCTGGACAGATTTACCACCATCTGAACATACCATTCTTACTTTAGATGCACAACCTGTTACAAGTAATTCAATTAATTTTATCTCAATCACAAAATATTATTAATTTATCACCTTTTGATAATCAAAATTTGTTGTTCATCAATGTTTCACAAATAGATTTTTTCAAATTATATTCTAAATGTAATTATACAAATTGATATATTTGATATGCTAATAATAATTATTTTGTATTGTTATTGATAACAGGTGCAGGAATATCAGCAGAATTAACGTTCCTCATCAAAGTCAGTGGACAATTGAAACTTGATGAAAAATCATCTAAATCGTTCATTCAAACGTTTCTGATAACAGCTGTTGGAGACAAATGGAAAATAGTTACCGATTGTTTTAGAGCAGTAGAAACATAATTATAATCAAGATGATGATATTAATAAATTGTAAATAATAATTTTTTAATAAAAAAAACTTACGATGTAATGTTTTATAAATTGTATATATTGTATAATAATATTATTAAGAAAATGTCGGACATTATACATAATAAGAAATTTCATAAAATATGACATCGCTTTTTATTATTATTATTAATTATTCTTCTTCTATGATGCTCTTTTATTTATTTATTTATTTATTTATTGATTTATTATTTAAGAAAGCATTTTTTTTATTTATTTATTTTTTTTTTATAGTTCCATAATAATTCATTTGTTTTTATTATTATTATATTTTCACATTTTTCGATCTTATTATGAATTGTTGTATAAAGCAATTATTATTAAAAAACTTTTGTTATCAGTGAATTCAGTACATATTGGTCTTTAGAAATGTATGTAATTTCACATGAAAAAATAAAAAATAAATACAGATATAAATAAGACATAAAAACTACTATAATACATATTATATAAAACAAAGGACCTTTCTTCTCTCTTCTATAATAATAATAATAATAATTATAATATTAATAATAATAATTATAATAATTTGTCTAAGTCCCATCAATCTAAAATTCATTTGAGTAATCATTTTTTTGTTTGTTTGTTTTCTTTTCTTTTCAATTCAGTTTGTTTGTTTGTTTTTTTTTTTTTTTTTTTCATTCAATACAAATAATAAAATAATGGTTTTAGCTTATCACAGGTACAAAATGATTTAAAAACGAATAAACAATTGAACCGAAATTACATTGTATACTATTTAATGTATATATTGAATGTACTAATAGGCAGTGTCATAAGACACATTTCATTGGTCACTATTATTACTTATGCATCTGTATTGCATTACTACTACTTAGTTTCAAAGCACAGATTTAATAAAGTATAAGTTCAAAAATTCCCATAAAATAAATAAATGAAGAGAAAAATAACTCGTCAATCGAATATTAAACATAATAAGAATAGTTAACAATATTTTTTTTTCTATCGAATTAATTCATTAAAAATTAAAATTATATTTATAATAGAGATATATAAATTACGTTGAGATAATAATTTTGTTGAGTATTAATGAGTATATATAATAATAATAATAATAATAATAATAATTTATAATTTAAATGAATAAACAATTGTTTCGCACATTTTTTGAAGAAGAAGAAGAAGAAGAAGAAGAAGAAGAAATTATTTTGAAATTTATGGGACCTAGTATTGGTCTCTGATAGAAAATTGTATAAAAAATATGTGCATGAGTAAGAGGAACAAACGCGTTAGATGATATTTTTGTTTTTGCTTTTTGTTTTTTGTTCTTTTATGAAAATTTCTAAACATATTCCTTTACTGCTGTGCCTTTGGAAGAACATTTCCATATATCCATGATTAAACAAAGCACACGACACTTAATAAGAATTTGATTAATTACATTGAATAATTTGTCTTATTTCTGGATAATTTATGTAGGCATACGATGATGATACTTAGTACAATTGTTATTCAAACTTATGCTATACAAATACAAAATTGTTTATATTGTCCCACAGTACATATGTAAGATATTATCTTAACATTATTCATTTGTTGTATTTATAATGTTGTTGTTGTTGTTGTTGTTGTTGTGATGATACCTCTTCTACTTTAATAACTTTTTTTTTTTTTGCATAAATGTACTAAGCATAATGATGTGTAAAAAATTACATTTAAATGATAATGATTTTTGTTTCTTTCTTGACGATACATCATAATAATAAGCGGCTTTAAGAAAGTGTCTACATTTTCTTTTTCTTTTCTTTTTAATGACAATCATTCTCATAATTGCATTTTAATATGCACCATTGGTACAATTATTATTATTAATTAATTATTTATTTAAACTGTGATAAACTATTCATATTGTTATGATCATCATCATCATCATATATATATATATATGTTATTAAATATTAGATCATATGTCTTTTTATATAAAAAATGTAATCATGCAAAAATTATCGAGGCTTATAATTCAAAGCCTACATACAACACCATTATCACCATGATGATCGTAGTAGACAATAAAATATTTCCACATTGATTTGGTATTTTTGTTTGTTTGTTTGTTTAAAATATAAATATATGCAAAACATAAAACAACGAATTTTGCAGTAAATCATTATTTGTTCTTTTTTTTCTTTTTTTCTTTTCAAATAAAATATAATATTCAAGAGAAATACTTGTAGTATACTTTCTTATTATGCCTCAACCACACAAAATGTTTTTAATAGCATAAACATACAACCATAACTCAACAATCCTTACTTTCATTCACATTCATTACTTGATATTACTTTAAGCATAATTGTTATGATTAAAACATTGTTCTTAGACCTTACTAGTGACTTAGATATATATCTATACTTATTATGTATATATATATATATATATATATGTATGCATGTATGATTTATGATTCGTATACATACGTACGTACGTCACACACATTATAGTTTATATAAGAAATTTATCTCAATTAACGAATCAACGCATTGAAATATTTTTATTCAGAATTTTGTTGACAATTACAAATATTTCAATGCGTTGATTAATAAGAGATAATATATATATGATGTTATTATTATTATTATTATTATTATTATCATACGTACGTATATATGCATGTATATATATATTTATATATACGTATATTTATTATATATATATATAATTATTAAATTGGTGACAGAAATGAATTTTA